TGGCAAATGAGTCTGATAAGGAGAGCATCCACTGGTCGTTTACTAGGGCTCTATCCAGTTTCCTTGCGATCGGGTTTTCCATGCTGCTATTTGTCCAAGTAAAAAAGCACCCTCTAGCTGATAAGTCCATAAGGCCTGCAGAGTACAGACAATCCTGGAATTCTGACATTCCGCTTTGGGGCAAGAAATGGGCAGTAGGCGATGCATGCTCTGAGGGGTGAAGTATTTGGTTGAAATCTCCAAGTAGTATCCAAGGTCTTGCAGCCACTAGAGAATTACTTCCCAAGTCAATTATCTCCTGCCATAATGCTCTTCTTTCCGATGGCGTGTTAAGGGCATAGACGAAGGATGCCGTAAAATATAGGCCGCTAGCTGGCAAGAGAACTCCACAAGTGATCATCTGCGAAGAGGAAGCATAGACAGTTACTGATAAGGAAGGATCCCACAACACCCAAATCCTTCCGAGAGCGGCATAGCGGTAATTATGGATGACCCTCCAAGACGGGGCGATTGTCTGCATAATTCGCGTAACACTTGATTCATCACGAACTCTGGTCTCAATAAGAGCTCCAATCAGCGGTTCTTTGGCTCGCAAAAGCTCTTTCACAGCACGATGTTTCGGGGAACCATTCAATCCCCGTGTATTCCAACAAAATATTTTCATAACTCAAGGTGATACCAAAATCTCTCAAAAACAAAATAGGGTCTGATAAAAAAGAGTTACTGCTTGTTGTTTGTCCCCCTCTGACTTCTCCGTACAACGGTGAATTCAGAGGAAAGTAGAGGAGTTGATGATGCGCGCGAACGAAGAACTCGTTGAGCTTCATGTATAAGTTGTTCCTCGTTGTCAAAGTAGAATTTAGCCTGAGTTTGCATGTTGTTTGGCCTTGGTGAAATGGTAGTAGGTTGGTCATTTCGGTGGCTTACGGTTAAGGGGGTGGGTAGAGTTTGAGCCTGGTGTTTAATGGAGGAGGAAGGGGATGTGTCGGTGGGGCCCGAACGTTGGGGCGAAGGAGGAATTGGCTCCCCGGCAGATGATGTAGGTACATCAGGTTGAGATATAGCTTCAGAGGCGGGCAAGGCAGCATTTGTCGGCAGGCCAATGGAAACTGACTGACCAGAATCTGCCTTCTCCATATCCACGACCTTCACCGGAACAGCTACCCTCTCGATCCCTGTTGCAGTTTTCCTCAGGCAATTCAGCTCTTTGTGCCCGAATGCTTCACATTTTGGGCAAAAGGGAGGTGTCCAGGCGTATGTAGCTTTCAGCTCAATGATGCCACCATTCTCATCTTCAATCTCAACTGTATCCGGTAGTGCAGCTCCAAGCTTGACCTCAATCTTTACCCGAGCTTCCCCGACATTCAAGGGATCGAGTCGCATTCGCTCTGTATGCAAAGGCTCACCAATACTACAAGTGATATAGCTTATGCCTTTGAGGGAGTAGAGTTCAGCGGGGATTTGCGAGAAGTTCACCCAGATCGGGGCCGTCGTAAGGACCGGCTGTCGAAGAGATCCTGTTGTAGACCATTCCGTGATGGAGAACATGACATCAGCAGCACGCCAGATACCGACCTCGAGGATCCATTCCCGAGTGCCCAGATCAGAGATTTGGAATAGACAAGTTGAGTCGTTTACCCGACGGACATGGATACGCGATCGACGGCCCCAAATAGGGTTGAGTATCTGGAAGAGTTTTGCTCCCGACGGAGCTATACCGTAAAATTGCCCTACCAGGTAGCCATTCCATGTCTGTGACGCTTCCACAAGCACTGAGCTAGGTACCTTGATTCTTGGAGTACCGTTTGCAGAGAGCGTAGGAGTAGCTACTCGGCTCAAGTTTCTGGAACCCACCTTTAGTCTCTGAGCCCACGGAAACTGGGTCGTCAAAGCAGACGGCGAAGCCACAGCCGGGACAGAGTGAGAAGCTCCGACCGTAGAATCAGTAGCGGCGAGAGCAGGGAAACCAGATCTCTTTGTACCCAAGGGCGGAAAGTCCGCTAGGGAAGACGGCGAGGGAACCACTATGGGAGAAGTTAGAGGTTCGGTTGGGGAGGTGGAGGGTGCGGGTTTGTCTGGAACTTCATATCAATATTGAATATGTTAATTACAAGTTGGGCGTGGGCATAGAGATTAATGAGCCGAATCTCTAGATAGTGCCTAGGCTTTGGCTTGAGATCATGAGTGTTTTTGAGCCGATGGAAGATATGATAGAGAATGAAAAAGACTTTTGCTTGATTGCATGTATTTAAGAATTTCGGACAAAGGTTCTTCTTCGTTAAGTCGTTGAGAGCATAAATTAATAATCTCGCAAGTGTTTCAACCACTTATTAACTTGAATTTCTCCATGAGGTCCCAAGTTCGAAGAACAATGGAGTCACGGAATAATTCGCATGGGGGAAAAGAAATCAGGGTTCAATAGATGAGGTTTTTGAGGTTTTTAAAATTCGAAAATTAAAAAAATTGATAATCATGATTTTTTAAATTTGATTTTTCTAAGAATTTGAAAACTTGATTTAGTGAAATAGTTAACTAAAAATAAAAAGAAAAATAACATATAAATACCTAAATTTTTATGAAAATCCCAGATAAATATCTGAACCATATTACTTCTATATAAATATCTAAATTTTTAAAAATTCTATATAAATACCTAGACTTTTGAAAAAAATTTAAAATAAATACAAATTTATGATATTTTTCAAATAAAACTAAGTGATATCATTAACAGATTTTAGGTTTATTTGAGATTTTTTCAGAAATCTAATTATTTATTTAGGATTTTAGAAAAGTTAAGGTACTAATGAAAATTTTGTACTTCAGTTATTTATCTGAAATTTTTGTAAAAATTTAGGTATTTATATGCGATTTTACCAAAATAAAAAAACTCCATTTTTTTAGTCAAAAACAAAAAACTAAAGCTAAAAACCCTAAATAAAAATATCATCATTCATGGTCTAGATATCAAATAGGGTTAAATGTATAACCGAATTCATCGTGGATTGAATGTTACAATTTGGCATATTTCAGTTTGTTATCCGGTCATAAAATATAGGGGTGAGCGTTTCGGGAAACAGTTCGGGTTCGGGATGAGAATGAATCGGTTCAGTTTTTTCGATTTTACAAAAATAGGTACCAATCGGTTTTTATATTGTGTTCGGTTCGGTCCGGTTTCGGTATCGGTTCGGTTCTAGGTTGTATTTAAGTAAAAATAGTTTTCCTTTAAAAATATTCGGTTTTTCGGAATTTTTTAAAGTTCGATTCGGTTCGGTTCCGGAAAATTTTGGTTCTCTAAAAATAATACCGTTCGGGAATTGAGAACGGTTTTGGATCGGGAAAAGTACCGTTTTTTCGGTTCGGTTCGGTCTGGTTCTGAAGAACCGATCCGAAACGTCCACCCCTAATAAAATATAAATGTCATTAACAATTTTGTCACAAAGTTTCCCTTTATAAAATAAAACTTAGGTACGTATTTATTGTATTTAGGTGTAACGGTACGAACATTTTAAAAAAAAATCATATGTAGTTTCCGTACGTTTGGTTGTTTTATGCATGCAAGAGGAGGGGTGCCCGCCTCGATGGATTCCATTAGCCAAGTTGCAGAGATACTCAAAACCTAACACGGAAACCAGGGGTATTCTAGTAAATACCGACGGGAATCAATTTCATTAAATACTTTTACCTATAGGATAAGATAAATGTATATATAATATATATTTTATTTTTTGGAGGTAAATGAATATTCTTTTTATCTAAAAAAATAAAAAATAAATAAATGAATATTCTGAACTTATACATGGTGTATATATACAAAGTAGGGAAAATACCAAAAAAGGTAATCATCCTCGAAATTTTATCACTGGATTTCTTGTCCACATCTTTGACTAGTCACTCTTTCTTCTCCTCCTTCATGTTTATCCAACAATAAAATAAAATGTATATAAAATTTTCTCTCGCACGGTTCAATTGTGCATTTATGGTCTTTGATTATATATATGCATATATATAAATGTGTGTGTGAGTTTCTTTATTATTTTATACCGCATTTCATCTAAATCACATCTTAATATTTGAGGAAAAAATTATTGCAATAACCATATCGTGTTTTTAGTAGTAGATTTTTGGTATATCGGGTCAAATTTAAGAATCAGATATCTACAAGGTATTTTCAAATTCCGAAATCAGTTTAATCTTTGACTTAGATTTATTTATATAAAAAAGTTATGTTAATGCATGGTTATTTAAAAATTAATGCATAATAATTTGAATGTTTTTTCAGGTCGAAGATGAACTTATTTTATTTGCACACAACTAAGTGACGCTCCTCCTCGTCATTTCACACATGGACAATTGATAAAAACATGGATTTCACTGGTGAAGGGGTGAAGACATGACCAATTGACCAGTAGTCTCGTCCACCGTCCATCCACAAATATTATATATATATATGTTTTTATTAAAAACAAAATACGGATATTAAATTAAAAACGATAGCATTTTTTATTATTATATATTTTCTGTTTATCGTTATATTATAATAAAAATGATTTATATATTTATAAAAAATTAACAAATAACATAAAAAATATAAATACAATATAAATAAGTCAAATACACAATATTTGTATTTATATATTATTTTTGCATATAGAAGTAATTTGTCGTATACATATATATATTATATAATTATATATGTCTTTGTATAAAGATTCTAAAGATTCTCTCGTAGGTTTTACTAATATTTATTATAAAGCTTTTTACCCAAAGTCTGTTTCATCTCTCTTCACAAGCCAAGTGTCATTATCACTATACGTTTCTGGCCATGAATTTTCATTTATAAAATCAGAGGATTATTTGGCTTCTTCTGTCTCAACGTTCTAAAATATGAGAATATAAAATTAAAATAAAATCCTGAGCTGGCATGTGTATATATATATATATATGATCTTTTTTTTTCTTTATAATCTATATATATATATGATCTTATGGAGACTCCATATCTAACATTTGAGAATCCTTTTCCTTTATTTTTCCTTTCCTTTCCTTTTATTTTTCGTAGAAAGGTTCCCATAACCTTAAATCATTTCCCTTTCATTCCTCTACCCAACATCCTCACTCCTGCAAGTTTTTTTAAATCAAAAAATATCACTTGAAAATTGAAATAAAACAAGCGAGAAGAGGGAGGAAGAAGGAGAGAGACATGGAGGTGTCAAAGGATTACACACAAGATGGAACCGTCGACATCCATGGCCGACCCGTCATGGCTTCGAAAACCGGCCGATGGAGGGCTTGCTCTTTCCTCCTCGGTAACCATCGATCATCCTCCTCCTCTTCCTCCTCCTTCTCCTTCTTCTATCTATGAATCAACATCATTCAACTACTACTTGTTTCTTCCTTTTTGCATCACTATCACCAACCCAAAGTTATATCATATATAATCAATTGCCACAGAACAACATATATATAGCTTATATAATTGGCCCGTGTGATGAATCGCTCCAAGAAATTGTTTGCATGTTATCATTTCGTGTGTTGCTTTCCATATCTCCATGGCTTTCCCCCGCTAGTCTACTTCTTCTCGATCTTGCGCTAAATTTCTAATTACAACTGCATATATATAATTTTTTTTAAGGTTTTGTGTTTACGTGTATAGGTTACGAAGCATTCGAGAGGATGGCGTTTTACGGAATAGCGTCGAATTTGGTGAACTATTTGACGACAAGACTGCACGAAGACACGATCTCGTCGGTTAGGAATGTGAATAATTGGTCGGGAGCCGTTTGGATAACGCCGATTCTCGGAGCTTACATCGCCGATTCCTACTTGGGTCGTTTCTGGACCTTCACCATCTCCTCCCTCATCTACGTCATGGTAACTATCATCCCCCCCCCCCCTCA